GAGTGCCCGGAGCAGCTGCTGTCGGGTTCTTCGACTAGCCATCTGGCAACTTTGCCAGTTGTTTTGACCAGTGCTGCATCGCCTGTTGGACCGGTTTTTTGTTGGTGATCCTAACGTTTGTTTCATCTCCTGAAGTGATTACCAACTCAACAGTTCTCCCAACAGAATCGCAGTGCAGGGCTTTAGTCCCTTCGAGACTTCTTTGATGTGTATTGACAGCATTTTTGCTTCAACTGGAATGTTGCCACTCATAAACTATGTTGAGATACCCTTACTGACTAGAAAAGGGTGAGGGGAGGGGGATAAAGGCTCCTCAGTATATCTACGTTTGCCAGGCTCAATTTGTACTGATTTTGAAGTAGACTGGTACCAATAAATCTTCGTAGTTTTCCTGGCTACTCGCTGAATTTATCGCAGAAATGCCCAATCTGTTTCGTTCTGAGATGTTTTTGATGTGAATTGAGCATTTTCACCACTCATCCCCAAACTCTGGCTTTTCCAGACCACGATGAAAGATACCTCACAGCGTATTGTAGTGGTCATCTGACTTTTTTTTTGTTTAATTTATTGTTCCACTTTTTTTGAGGGTTTTTTTTTTTGATTTAGTTTTTTTGGTTTTTGTGATTTTTGGTTTGTATTTTGGTGTTTTTTGGTTTATATTTCTGGTGTGAGATAATGGTATAGTTTGGTATTTCTCTGTTTCTAGCCGTGTGGTTATGCCGATGACAGTGGAAGAGTATCAAGTGGGCCAACTCTGGTCGGTTGCTGAAGCATCAAAAGCGGAAACCGGTGGTGGTGAGGGTGTTGAGGTGCTCAAGAATGAACCATTCGACAATTATCCATTGTTTGATGGTCGATATACATGTGGTCAATTCACACACAAAATCTATCACCTACAAACGTATGTTTTTTTTTTTTTATCATTTTATACGATATTACTGTGCGCATACATAAATGTGAATTTTCGTACTTTGTTTGGTATTTCACCTGGTTAAGACATGTTGCATCATGACTCCCTCCTAGGCGCAGAGCATGTATAATGACACGAAGTTCCCTATATATGGCCGCTGTTTCTGCGTTGTGGCTTAGTGTTGTGTTGTGCTAAGGGTCCCGACGAAAAGCAGGGCCCTCCTTAACCCGAATTATCATCAAAGAGTCGACGACCCTGCCAAAGATCCAAGTAAGCGCCGGACCAGTGGACGAGACCTCCAAGACCCCATCCCAACATAACTGTTGCCGAAATGGTATCGATTTTGTGGGACTTCTTTCCATACAAGATGTCACAGTAGAGGTTTTTACAAGTAGAAATAGGGCTGATTCTT